TGATCAGAGGCTCTCTTTTTCAGTGTGCAATTCCCAATTTAACCACAAAGACTAACTTATATTCAATGACCAATACAACCTTAGGGGGCAATGTTTTCCTCATTTAAGTAGAGTCACTGGAAAGAAGGGGTAACAAATGAATGTTAACAATTGAATGTTAACAAATGAATGTTAACAAATGAATGTAATGTGACGAAAAATAGATTCTATTTTCATTAAAATGACAGCAATAAACACATTTTGATTGTTAAAAATCATGGCTTTCCATGGGATAACGCGCCCCTGCATTTTCCAGTAGCAATGATCCAGGCTTCAAGGTCCAAGGTTAAGTTATTCTGCAATAAATGGCTCCACAACAACATGCAGATGAGGTCCATTTATGCTACAAGAATAACTGACAAAATATCATTCTCCCCACAACTTGTTGTTAAAGGTGAAAGGCGCTAGGGGGAGACAAAGAAAAAAAAGTCTTCTTCATCACTTAGGCTGAGTTGGGTTAGATTGTGGAGGACTAGAGACTCGGTCAGAGAAGAGGATCTCAAACGTAGACTGTACATCAACCTGAATGTATTGCTTGTCTAAAGGTCTAAAGGTGCAGGCAGACACACGTAGGGAGCTCTTTAAAATCCCTTCTTAAATAAAAAAAATCTTTTGACTTTTTCTTTACAGATGGAATTCATTATATCTATTTAAATGAACTTAAACTATAAAGTATACATTTTCCAGCCTATACGTTTGAGTTTTTATTAGCTTTTTGCTTATTGTAATCCATGTGTTGCATTGAAAGGTGCTGTAAATCATTTTAATTATTGTTGCCAGCAATAAAGAAATAGTAAAATAAATAAAACAAATACAATTTTGGTAGGAGTCACAATATAAATCATTGGATTAAAAAATGCTCACAAATGTTTGAAGAATGTGGCTTACCACACAAGTTGCTCATGAGATCTATGTACTTGATTTTGGGAAACTTTAACAAACTTCATGGCACATCATTTGAGACATTATCAAGTTGCCACCGTGACAATGTGTACAGTAACATCCCAAATAAGTACTTTAAGTGGGGACAGTGTATTCCCTTTCATTCATTTACATCATAACTTATGTGCAAAAAAACATCTTCCTGATTGTTTACATTTTGCAAAAACTATTCACAATTTCTTCTGTTCCTAGCACTGGTGATCTCTTGATTCTAATATCAATGATCTCAGCATGTGGTTGAGCCCTGCGTCTGCCCCCTTATATTTCAACCACTCTCCTCTTACCATGTATCTGCACTGGCCTTATGTGTGCTCACATAATTATCTTGTTTATTGCTTCACAGGATCTGCTTTCATGTCACCAGCCTAATCCTCGGGACCCCCTGCTCAGCGCTAACAGGGATAGGTGAAGAATGAAAAATCCACAGCAGCTGATGGATTAATTTTCCTCTGTCTGTATTTATAAATTGTGATTTATTGTGTAGGGACTATAGCCTGACAACTTGACTGTCTGTTAATTTATTCTATTTTGTTTCTGTTGGTTCCAGAAAGGCAGATATTTTTTCCAATTCTTTATTTATCCATGTCTGTACGGTGTATTGATATTTCTGCGATATTGAAATTACCGTTCCTGATATTTTTAAAAGCACAAAGAGTTTGCAGAAGTTGTTTTATTGTTGCTTATTTGTATGCATACGTATTTGCCTTTAAATGTGATTGTTGTAAATCAAATCAGTTTAAATTGAAAGATAATTCATCAATCAGAGTTCGGTTTAATTTACTGCCATGCTCAAACAGTATGACAGTAAGAAAGTATATACTTTAACTAATTCCCCTTAACATTAACTTCACTGTTATAAGAATGGAAAAAAGTATATACATATTCTGTATGCATAATGGTTTTCATTTTGTTTATTTGTTTTAATTCACACAAAAAAGATTCTTGAAAATGGCTCCCAGATATACAATAAACTATGCTATATCAGATATACTAATACATGAATATATGACACCACTAAGACATATTTAAAGGTCCCATGTCATGCTTTTCTGGTTATTAACCGTCCCCTTGTGTGTTATGTAGCTTTTTCTGCATGTAAACGGTCTGCAGAGTCACAAACCCTCAAAGTACACCCTGTAGCGAGTAAAACTCTAACACAGAAAAGACCTGTCTATGCTTCCCCAGAACGCCTCGTTGGAGATTTCTCTTTTTCCATTGTTTACTTCTTGGGTATAGTGACGTATTTCGGGTATAGGGACGTTATCGTTTACTTTCTCAGTTTTTATATGTAGATATTACTTTTCTCCGTTAATCTCCGTCACGTTGTTTCCAAAGCAACAACAACTTCCTGTCAACTGCGCTAACTCTCCTTCAAAATAAAAGCATGTCCATAAATAGGAAGCCAAGCCAAATTACACTTAAGACATATACAATTGCAACGAAAGTAACAAACACAATGTGTTTCAAAGAACACAAATTGGGTTACATTAACAAATAACTATAAAACAACAATACTGTAGAATAACAAATTGAATGCCGTGAATAAACTGAAATACACGTTGAAGCGGTTCGCTGCTATTACTNGGTCTGTGTTGGGTCCAAAGCTGTTCATGATATATTTACGACATTTGCAGAGTACCAAATATATTGAAATGTATTTTATTTGCAGATGACACTAGTATTTTTTGTTCCGGTGACAATTTGAAAGAGCTAATGGAAGTAAATACTAGTGTCATCTGCAAATAAAATACATTTCAATATATTTGGTACTCTGCAAATGTCGTAAATATATCATGAACAGCTTTGGACCCAACACAGACCCCTGAGGTACTCCACAAGTTATGTTCATGTATTCTGATTTATGTTCACCAATTTCAAAAAATTGTTTTCTGTTGCTTAAATAATCTCTCACCCAGTCTAATCCAACCCCTCTGATGCCATACCGTTCCAGTTTTGTCAGTGAAATATTGTGATCTATGGTGTCAAATGCTTTTTGTAAGTCTATAAATATTCCCACTGCTTGTTTTTTATTGTCCATGCAGTTTGCTATTTCACTTAATTCCATTAGTGCCATAGCTGTTGATCTATCTTTCCTGAATCCATATTTTTGTAAAAAGTTTTTCAAGGATCTTGGAAAACTGAGAGAGCAATGAAAAAGGTCTGTAACTTGTGTAATGGTGTTTATCCCCAGTTTTATATAATGGTATAACTTTTGCTATTTTCATTTTATTTGGGAATTTACCAGATTGAAAAGACAAGTTAAAGAGATGAGTCAATGGTTCTGCAATTTCTTCAATAATGTTTTTTACTATAATCATATCAATATTATTTCAATCGGTCGAGGATTTTCTTTTACATTTTAGTACAGTATGATTTATTTTTCTTCGACTGGTGTGAGGAAGAAAGAGCTATTGTTTTCATTCCAGAGGTCCGTATCTTCCCCTTTAGTTGTTTATACGGTTTACATTTTTTCTGCCAGATCTGGCCCCACATTTACAAAGAATTCACTAAAACCATTAACCACATCTTCTGTATTATTAATAACATTATTTTTGTCCACAACAAACTCAGGGTAACCAGAGCTTTTTGCTCCATTTCTAATGACACTATTTAATACTTTCCATAAACCTTTCATATTATTCTTATTATTCTCTAATATTTTATTATAGTATTCTTTTTTACATATCCTCAGAATATGGGTTAATTTATTCTTATATCTTTTATATTTATTTTCTGCTTCTGAAGTTCTATATTTTATGAATGGTCTATATAGTGTATTTTTCTTTTTGCAGGCAGCATTTTTTAGGCCATTAGTGATCCATGCACTGTGAGTTTGTTTGTGTCTCTCTGCATTGTTTCACAGGACAGTTTTTGTCATAAAGTGCTTTAAAGATGTTTAGAAATTCATCATAGGCCTTTTCAATATCATCTCTCTCATATACTACCCTCCAATTCTGCTTTAGTAAGTCATTCTTAAATGCAATTATGTTATCTTCAGTTCTCAATCTTTTGTATTTGAAATGGCTGGCGACTTTCAGTTTCTTAGAACTGCAGTGATAGACAATAAAAAGAGGTAAATGATCACTTATGTCACTATATAATAGTCCGCCTACTGCATTGTTTTCCATAATGTTTGTGAATATGTTGTCTATTAATGTAGCAGAATGAGAAGTGATTCTACTAGGTCTGGTCATTTTAGGATACAAACCCATACTGTACAATGTATTGATGAAGTGTTCTATCATTTTATGCTTATTTGGATTCAACAGGTCAATATTGTAATCCCCACAGATAAACATAATTTGTTGTAATGATTTAGTAAACATGTTTTCTACCCTATCTGTAAATGTGTCAATACAGGTTCCAGGAGCTCTGTATATACAACTCACAATAACATTTTTAGACTTTTCCATACAAATGTATACTGTAACACATTCAAACAAATCGTCAACAGCTGTTGTCATGCTCTCCACCACCTTATAGTTAATTCCTTTATCCACATAGATTGCCACACCCCCTCCACTCTTATTCCTTCTGTTTGTATAATTCAGCCATCCATCTCAAAGTCCACACCTTTCTCAGCACTGATCCAGGTCTCTGATATTGCTATGATGTTGAATGGGTTCTTAAACTGACTTAGATATTCTTTAATGTTGAGGAAGTTGGCATATAGGCTTCTGCTATTGAAGTGGATAATTGATATGTTCTCTTCTGATTGACACGTTACATTGAATTGCTCTTCTGTGAAATAGTTGCAGCTGTTGTTGATATTGTTCAGTAAGTTGTTTACCGGATCAATGTCATTTTCTATGTCCTGTGCTTTATGCTCTGTATATGCAAAAGTGTCTAGTCTTAAATGATTAAATGTTAAATGATTTTCAAACAGTATCTTTTAGATAGTAGGTACATTTACAAAGAACTGTGTAGTATGAACTAGAAATCATTAAAGGTTAAATGAGTGCATTTTAATTTGTAATCACTGCAGCCTTGGAACACAATTGGCAGAAGAGCTCAACTCATCGAGATACAAAGTACATTTTTATCTTAGTTTTACAGTCGTTGAACAAGAAAGAATGCAATGGAAATACAGAAAAGTAAATGTACTGTAGATTTGTTAACTGTAAGACGGGCCTGTAAAAGTACTAAAATTAGCATCAAATCCTCCTCCTCCTCCTCTTCCATCTTTACCAGAGCTTCTGAGTGAAGGGCTGCCTCACAACATTTAACAACTCATATAAGGACATTATAAGCATTGCAGGACATAAACAATGTAAAGATATTAGAAAATAAAACATGTTGAAACTAAATGTGGTCAGGGCTCTCTATGGGTCAAGAGATTAGGCAACATTCAAATCTGATCTCTTTATTGCTTGAACCGCTGTAAATACAGCCTACAGAAGAATCCAAAACACAGACATTGAAGCACAATCACTCCAGTCAATCTGAAGAAAGGCACCAAAACGACAGGAAGGATGCTCCTCTGAAGAGATCTGCAGAGGAGCAGTGGGCTGTACCAAAACTCCCGCTCCACTCACTCATCAGCTTTGGATCTTTTAGTTTCCCATCTGTGAGTGAGTCAGAAGTACTTTAAAGTCAGAAAACATAGATGATAATAATGATAATACAGTACCAAGTCAAAATGACACTACTTTACATATTGGTGCAACACTCTCAAGACATATTTGATCAACATAAAAGTTCAGAGACATTTAACACTGGTGTTTTATACAAAAATATATATCAAACACATCAATAAACTGCAAGCTCAAAATAAGGACTGTCTCCACCTGAGAGAAGAGGGGACAGAATGACCAGCATGTTAGACAGGGACTGTTTGACACTTTGACTTGCATACTGTACCTCCAAACACACACGTGTAACAAGGGACACACCTGTAGATTTGTTAACTGTAAGACGGGCCTGTAAAAGTACTAAAATTAGCATCAAATCCTCCTCCTCCTCTTCCATCTTTACCAGAGCTTCTGAGTGAAGGGCTGCCTCACAACATTTAACAACTCCAATGCTTTACAGTAGGGGTTTCTGTGAAAGGCTGTGGGACTTTTAACAAGTGATGATACTGATTGTTTTTATAGCAAATGTAGGATCCAGTGTTTTTGGGAGCATGACATATGTTTGGGTCAAAGAGTCAAGATGGATCTGCCTCTGCCTAAAAAAAGCAAGTATGGAAATGCTCAGTGTTCAGGACCAGCTGTATTTTCCATACTTACTGCAGAAAACATTTTGTTTGGCTTTTTCCTTGTCTAAGCATGACAGAAGTGCACTTCACAGTGAACTCAAGAGCATATACACATTTGTCTCTTTGATTATATAGTTTTGTAAAAAAAAAGAAGATATTTACTCTCAATATATAGATTTGTAGCAGAGCTGTAAATATTATATGATCAAGGGAGATAACGGGAAACCAGGATATTTAAGTGTGTTAGGTATTTGCAGTACCTTACACTGCCGAATATAACATTTTAAAATGTAAAGGATTATAAAGAAAATGTAAAATGATAGTGAAAATGACTTTTTTTTATTAATACGTAAAAATGAAGATGAAATGGAGAAGTTTGAATTAAAAGCTCATTTAAAATAAGCGATGGTGGAAGAGAATGTGAAATGATTTGGATGCTGTAGGTTTACTGCTGGTACTTCAGTCAAACTGTGTGACGATATGCAGGAAATCGAAGTATCTTAATGTCAAGGCAACCCTTAAACAAAAGCGTGTCCACATCAGAGCCAGATCAAAAGAAGGAAGAAAATAAAAGAATACACAGGAGACTGAAGCCGCGCTGGCTCTGAGACCATCCTGGGCACAGTGGTGCTTTGAGCTGAATAGAAACAACATGCTAACATGTCCTATTTGCTTATTAGCACAGGAGCTGAGGTTTAGGGCATTTGGTTGGATCAAAGTATTGATTCAATTAAAATGCTGAGAGTGGTGCTAAAGCAATGTCAGCAGATCTCCAAAAGGATGTCAAATCATCCTGAGTGGGACATGATATTTCAGTCCAGACCAAAGCAGCTAACCAACACGGGCTGAACCCAGATGCTAACATGGCTAAAAACATCTCAACAATGAGCAAACAAAGTGAACCTTTTGGCATTCCCCGTCACAAACATAAAGCCTCTTCATGAACACTGGAGATGTCTGGATGAAGCAACTAACTGTGCATTCACACGTTCAACATTTGTAACCTGATACTGAGGAACTATCATTGTTCACCACATCAAACCGTGGAACATATCTATTCTCTCATACTGTATTTCTATGCAACCTTTTCTATCCCGTCTTAAATTTGACTCATATATTTACATCAGCTATTGCATATGCAATAGCAAACCCTGAAAAGTTGAGAACCCCAAAGTTTTACGTTAGAAATGTATAGTAGGGTCCCCAGCACATAGAAACTGCCGAATGCGAACCTGCATATCAACTTTGGGCAGTTTGCACAATTATTATAATTTGCTTAAATTAGCATTGATAAGCATTTGCAGACAAGAGTTTAAAAACGGCTTTGACGATTTGGGAGTGATTTTGGAGGTTATTGAGGATGCTGAACATTCTGACATTTCCAGGATCAAAAATGGCAATTTAACCAGAAAGTGGCCATATTAGTACTCCCGGGGGGAATTTTAAGAATGTTGGGTACCTTTTAAATCTTTAGGGGACTAAAACTGCCATTTTTGATCCCGAAAATGTCGGAAATTGATTCAACATCCTCATTAACCTCCAAAACCAAAAATGTGAAATAGCTATTGAATGCAACTTTGAATGCACCTTAGCATCCAGCAGTTTCTTTGTGCTGAGGATACATACTCTACATTTCCAGGTTCACAAGGCTGGCAACTAGAATATAGACTACATTTGATCCTTGATGTCCATTTATGGCGAGCTCCCTGTACTTCTAGAACCTGTAACAGACCTCTGAACTCTCAGTGAGCAGTGTGAACACACAGTCAGTCATGCACACAGTAATATTTCATCCCAACCACACCTTCAAAGTGAACAAAATACCTATGTGGTTATTTACAACTTAAGGGGATGACGGTCTTCCCTTCATTCGGAAACCAATGACATCTGAGTACATCTACAAAAATAAATCAAATAAAGGAGTGTCAGACGTATTGAAGTCCTGTTATGTGGGTGGTACCATATGAAGAGAGAAGTGGGAAAATGAAGCAGATGTATGTTAGACCCTGCAGGAGAGAAAGGTGGTCACTCAGACAGAGAGGGAAACAAAGCTGTTGTACTGCTCAATGTTTCTCTTCAGGATGTCAGAGCAGGGGCCGAGCACTCGCTCAAACCGGGGCCGGTCCAGTTTAACACACTTGAGGGGGCCCAATGCAACAACAGTGGCAGCCCGGGGCCGGTTCATCAGCAGGGCGATCTCACCTGGAAGAGAGCAGTCATCAGGTTACACAGGCAAACTCAATAAGCGTATAAGTCCTGCTTTTGTTTAAATAGATACTATATTTAAGGTATTATTGACTGTTTTCATCCACACTCGGCTTCTATCAATCCACCCCATGAGACCCTGTCAGTAACTATGTGGTCTTGGTGACGAAAAGACGATTTCTGCCGAAAGTCTGATTTACCAAAGTAGTCTGAGGGTCCCAGTCTGCCGACCTCCACAAACTCCTCGTCCTCGGAGCGCCTCTGCAGCACCGCAGCTGTACCCTGAGATCACAACAGAGACCACTTACACCACAGAACATTCACATCCAGGATGCAGGTGCACTGATTATAGAGCCCAATTTCTTGTTGACAGAATTCACACTGAGGGGTTCAACACCAAACAAAGTTGCCTGCAAATCCATGCGCTGTGTGCTGATTGTTGCTACAGAAGGTGTTCCTACCTCCAGAATGATGAAGAACTCATCCCCAGGCTGACCCTGCACCACTATTTTCTGGCTGTCCTCAAAATGCACAGTCTCCAACGCATCGGCCACCATCAGACGCTCCCACTTATCCAGAGACTCTGTCAGGAGCAACAGCAGGTCAGCAGCTCAGTGATATCTTCTTTTAAAAACAGGAAGCACTGCTTCAATCTGATAAGACACTACAGTTCTTACCTAGAATGGACACCTTGCTGAGGAACTCCTCATACATTTTGCGCTTTCTCAAAGTGCTTCCCTAAAAATAGAAATGGTGTCAGTTCCTGACGATCTGATTATGCTTGTGTCATTTCATTTCGGGCCTGAGACTGCAGCTCACCATCAGTATTCTCCTGTAGCTGTCTCTGTCGATGCCCCACAATTTGACGTCAGACTTGGCCCGGACTGAAGCTGCTCGAGGGGTCCCGTAGATCAGAGCCAGTTCCCCAAAGCTGCCCCCCTCCCCAATGCTGGTCACCCATTCATTGTTCACATATATCTAAATATATAAAAGATAAAGCAGACATTTCTATTGACATCAATCATTGTATCTATAATATGATAATGATGGCTGATGAGGGCTAAGTTTGCCTATACTGCATCCACAACATTCATATGCCAGTTAAGTGATCAACATCTAGTTTTTCATTTATTTTCCTGACATAAAAATATCACATGACCAAAACCATGTTAAGGTATTTGATATTTAAGTATGCATCAATTACAACTAGCTATACATACCATTTAACAACAAAAGAAAAAGGCCCCAAAAGATGACACCTTGAAATCACTTTCCCTCTATGCAAGGCCACGCTCCTTTTTGGGTAAGAACACTTGCTATCATTTTAATGGCTGTAAATACAGATTCTGATGTTTTCGGCAATCACATCAAAAAAGTAATACCGCACCTTTTTTATCTACAAGGAGCCCAGTTATGATGGTAAGACGGACAAACAATTCACGGTTGAATTTAAATCAATAGGAGACGGATGACTGGTCAGTCTGAAGGTGGACGAGTGGCAGGCAGCAGGCTAACACTGAAACTGTGATTTCTGAATCAGATCGTTTATTTTACTTTCCTTTTTCTGTAGAGGAAGTAAAGAAATCGTAATGCAGGATTTTAGGCATGAAGAAACGATGCCTTGTTTTCACTGGAAAGTGGGCGTGGCCTAATATTATCCAGGAGTGACGTAGCGCAGCTATAAGGATGAATTCTCTTTCGCTAAAGTTAAAGCTGTACAATTATATTAATATTTCTGTCTACTTAGGGCAGCAGAACACCTGAAACATAACTCCACAGAGCAACCTCATTGTTAAATAAAGAAATAGTTGGTTTTAGTCTTGTTAGTACTCCAAACTTGTCCCTGTTTGAACCACTAAAGAACGTGGAGGTAAAGTAGTTTTTGAATACGTTAATACAATGACAGTTGGTTACGAAGTTCAAAAATGTACACAAAGTATAAGGAAGAGCTCTTACATCCATGTCTCCCTGGTCGATAACATAGAAGTTGTCCCCCTCGTCACCTGCAACAGGAGCAATGAAGCGTCCTATGAATGAATGAATATAAAGAAACTTCTCCATATGTTATGCCTGTGTATAAAACGTACCTTGTTGGATGACTGTTTCTCCAGCAATGTAGTTGACAGAAAACATGGCGTCAAAAATGTCACTGGTGGGCAACAAAATACTCTGGTTAATTGAAAATGAAAAGGCGTTAAGAAAGATTGAAAACGACCAATCTGAGTGGAGCCATTACCTCCTCTCATTGTCGTCCAGGTGTGCAAACAGCACATTCTTCTCCATGGCTTTAGACAGCGACGCCATGCTCTTGTAGTCTTTTGGGATAACCTGGGGGGAGAAAGCTTCTTTAGATTTGGAATCAAGTCCAATATCAATATTCCTGACTTGCTCTTTAGTAGCTCCACTATGTTCTCTGCTCTGTTAACCTGCACGATGAAAACAGAGTTTTAGGGCCAGCTACTTTGCTAAAGGCTTCATTCCTCAGTAGAGCAGAGTGTGTGGAGCTCTCTCTGTTGGTTCATCACATCACCCACTACACATGTTGTCAGTTCATAGAAAACAATTATCGATTTGTGCAGCTTTGAAAACAGTATGAAGGTGTGTGAAATAAGAAAATGAAAGGAACCACCACAGACCTTTCTGACATAGGAGGCGGCGTCCTCCTCAGTGTACACCTCGGCACTGATGGCTCCTCTCCGGTTCCGGCCCCTCACCACAGGGTTCATGGGCGGGGACACTTCGTCCTCGCGTGAGTCTGACCGTGAGCTCGACTTCCTCTGAGAAGACATCTGCTGGACCTCCTCCTGCTGGGCAAAAGGTACACAGAACCATACATGTGACACTCAATAATAATTAAATCCTCAGATTAAGGATGGGTATCGTCCTATTTTTTAACTTAGTTTTTATTTCAGAACCAATATACAGAACAAAAGCAGATCAACAAAAAAGTCGATAAAAAAGAGGCATATTAAAGATAAGTACATAAACAAAACTAAAGCTGTGGTGGGCCTCTTTTTGAAATATTTCTGTCTGGATCCTTAGAGAATATGTTATTTGCTCCATCTGATAGAATTCCCACACCTTCTCAGTCCATACATTGGATGTTGGGAGTCAGGTTTTATCCACTAAATTGTGATACATTGAATTGTTGCTGTAGGCTGCCATATTTACCTCAATGCCTTCTGGTATCACACCTAGCATTGCCACCTTAGGGTCCTTTGTCAAATGTTGGTGGAACACTTCATTTAGGGCCTCGAACACTTCATCCCAGAACTTTCTTGGTTTAGGTATGGGTGCCTACTTGTGCACCACAACTTCTCCAGCATCTATCTGAGTTTGTTGGACTCATTTTAGCTACTATTTCTGGTGTTCTAAAAAATCTTTATTAATCCGATACTTTATCGGTTCTTTTTGTTATCTTTTAAGGGAAAAACTAATTGGAAACAGAATTAACTTTGCTTTATTTTATGTAAAATATTTTTTCTTGTGGCAAATTATTAATGACTAATGTGATGATGGAAAATGCAAAACAAATGAAAAAAATGGTTACATTTAATAAGTAACCCATGTTTGTAAGAGTTAGTTAAGTGTGGGCTCTGGGCTGCCAGCAAACATAACACACCTGACGTAGTAACGTTACACGTAAATGGGGCACCAGAGCTACGAGTGATAGCAGTTATTTTCATTCTCCGTCTGAATATGATGCCTTTTGGCCAGATGTTTGGACAGCTTATGGCAAACAAGCATGATCTAAATCGGGCCATGTAGAGTGTAACTCAACTTTTGAAAGCTCCGTTCTCTCCATTTTGAATTTGTAGCCCTGGGGCCCATTCATTACCTGGTTTAGCAGTCCCTGCCTTACAGGGGCCCTACATCCTGCATTAATTAATAGTTATATACGAGTTGAGCCCCCACCTTCTCCAGTCTGTCGAAGTGATCTCTGAGGAAGGCCAGGGGCCGGTCGGGCCGGGTGGTGCACAGCTGGATGATGCAGTCCTTGAGCAGCTTCTGGATGTTGTGCTTCTGGACATACTGCTCGCACTCTCGGAGGCTACGCTCCTCCTCACCGCTTGTGCTCGAGGCCATTTTTGTCTTGTGACCTGGAAGAAGAGAAGGAAAAACAAAACGGATCAGGAAGCAGCATTCTGATATTCAGAATTATTCGGAAACTGTGCTTTATTTTGACCTATGAACTTAAGGGGTTTCCCAGTTGAAAGTTACAAATAGCATGCCATGTTTATAGGGGACAAGCACTGGCCCTTCCTTACTTTCATTTCCTTTCATGTCTAAAAGATAAACCTTATTAAACATTATTTCACAGCTTCTCTGAAATATGAGTCCCATAAGCCTTTCAAATGAGAAACATGCCATACTATGATTGATTCATATCTTGAATAATGTAACAAGAACCATAATATGACTTTACACTGACACATCTTGCTGGGTGATAAAAGCAATAAAGAAAAAAAAAAAATAATGTTCTCAATGACTTTGTGTGATGGATGTGATGGAATAATCATTCTTTATGGAAGCAGGTTAGGTATAAAGTGAATCAATTTGTGTTGATACAGAACGGTTTCGAGCCACAAAAAATGTTGGCATTAAAAACTTAACCTGTAGTAAAGATTGGAAGATGGACACTAATTTTGGAAAAAATTGTCTACACACTGAAAAGCCTCCAGCCCCCCTGATCCTCAGATCAGGGGGGCCGGTTCAATCCCAGCATTTTCTCCTCTCCTTTCGTCAAGGGAGGTCCAGTGGTTCCTAAGCTAAAGGAGGTTATAAAGGAAGTTTGAAACCTCCTTTCCTATCAGAGAATTCGCACGGCACTTATCATGGCTGCCACTGAGGTACTTCCGGGTCATTTCACTCCGTTAGGAAGGTTCTTAAGCTAAATGGACAATTCGACTGCAACCCAGGACTTTCACTTGTAACAGAGTATTAGTACTACACTCTGGTACTTCTACTTTTACTTCATTACAAGGTCCAAGTACTTTTTCCACCTCTGCTATGCTACCCAACCAGCCATTGAGCTATAGCTGTAGTACAATCACTCAGTATTATTTAGTATTTAGCAGAGCTGAGGCTGGTCTATTTACACTGTTAGCTTCTAGCAATGCAATGCAACACACATGAAAAATGACTGTTATTTCACCAGATGATTTCTTATGATAGCCTTCTTGAAATACTGACCACAAACATTAGCTTAGCGAGCTAACAGTTAGCACGACAGCCTCGTCTGAAAACAAGGTGAATAATGAGCGGTAACAGACGGAAACACGACCCAGGCTGACACTAAGTCATGCAGGACAGTGTGCCATTATTCACACAGCAAACAATAAAAACATCTTTACCAAATATCAAATGACGTGGTTCTGATTGTTTTCCTTCTTGACAGCAGAAAACCACCACTTCCGCCTGGAGGTTTCACAATAAAAGCATCGCCTGGGGAAGAGAAAAAAATAAAGAAAAAATAAAAACTTTTCTTTCTTTTAAAGAAAATAAGAGGATACGTTTGTTAATTGTTTTAAGAAATCTCTAATAACAACAAATGACATATACCGGTCTAGAAGATATACTGAAACTGCAAACTTTCAACTTGTTTACCGTTTTTTTAAATCTTGAAACACTCACGGATTTGATTAGTTATTTTTGATATATGACACGATGGTCTTTATCGATGTTAAAAACAAACAAATTATCCGCTGTTCTTCACCTTCTAAAGGTTGACATTTTCGGCAACTCTCTTTTACCGTATCAAATTAAGCTGAACATGCTGGGACATTATATTATGTATAAAAACAAACAGAAACAATATGTGTGTATCTACAGTAGGCAATGTAGGCTATATGATAGTACATATTGTTTTTGTTGTTGTATTTGTTTAGCATGTGTATACAGTGATGTCCTCTCACAGTACCATGGAAAAGTGATGATTGGTTAACGCGGAGTATTTCAGGGTAAGCCAATCAGATACAGAGTTGGGCGGGTCTTGCCTTATGGGGAAAATACACACAAACACGAACACTTGCTAATGCTAACACACACACACACACACACACACACACACACACACACACACACACACACACACACACACACACACACACACACACACACACACACACACGGCAACGCTCACCACCAGCACACACACACATACACACACACACACACACACACACACACACACACACACACACACACACACAATGGCAGATGCAAGTATCAGCGAGAGCAGCAGCGCATTTGCAACTTGGAAATATAACCACTATTTTCAATTTGTGGGGATAAAGGACGCAAAAAATCTTACGGTAAAATGTAAACTGTGTGCAGGACAGAAAGCATTGTCCACATTTAATAACAGCAATGCCAATCTCCTGAAGCACCTAACTAATGTACATGTGGGAGTTGTATTTTCTCTTACTGTGCCACAGAACATCACAAAAACTTGTATTTGTATTGTTATTATTTTTAAAGTAAAGTAACTTGTTACTAGTTACTTTTATAATTTAGTAACTAATAAAGTAACTTGTTACTTTTTTGAGGGCAGTAACTATAACTATTACTAGTTACTTTTTAAAAGTAACTTGCCGAACACTGCCAAAT